ATTGAACGAACAGGTGGCAATGCGGCGCGATTACTACAGGACAAAGAAAAAGCACAACAAAACAGAAATTACGAAAAGAAACAAAACAAATAAATACTTGCAGGAAACCACTTTGTCGGCAGATGTACCACGAACACAGAAACAACAAAAGGAAACAAAACAAATAAAAACTTCCAGAAAGAGCACTTAGTCGGCAGATGTACCACAAACACAGGCCGCGCGAACAATGGCCGGGCTAACAAAAGCCGGGCGAACAAAGAAAGACCGGGCGATCGAGTGGACGATGAAGCCGTCCCACATAACGAATCCAATACATATGAATGCAATCCACTCTATTTAGGGATCCACGTTGACGCACAGTTCGCGCACCCCTGGAGCGTATACGTATGGAAACTTATACGCTCCTTACGGAGGTAAGAAGAGAGGGCCCTATGGTCGTCGGGTGTTTGAACCTTAATTTGAATGCCGTTAGCGCGGTTACGGGCATTCGTGAAATTAATATTTTTGGCCTTAAGGGCCAGGGAAACTCGTTCCCAGGCTGCCTTCTCTTGAAGGATTACCGGGGGACGGGGTGCTTGGATTTTTGCTTATTGTACTACCAGGGCCGAGCGAAGGTGTTAGCACGGGCAGGGGGAGCAACGGAGGGGGTCGGTGGACGGAGGCGCGACGCGTTCGCGGCTCTGCTTACTTTGGCGGCCGCGGGAGCTCGGGCTTCCGCAGCGCGCCTCTTACCTTTTTGGACTACTGTGAATCCATCAGTCGAGGGGGCGGGGGAAAGATCGACCTCCATGTCCGACTCCGAGTCGGATGAAGAGGAGGGCGCGGGCGACCCGCAGGCGGGCGTTTTAGAGGGCGCGGGGTTGACGGTCGCGACGGAGGCCACGGACAATCGCTCGGGGGCAGAGGACGGCGCGGGCGCGATGGAGGCCGCGGATGAACGCGTGGAACGGGCGACGTGTGCTGCGGATGAGCGCAGGGCTGGAACCGAGACCGCAGCGATCGACGCGGGAGCTTTGCTCGCGAGTATTGGGGACACGGGAGCGGCGGGCGCGACGGAGACCGCTTCTGAGTTCGCGGCGTGATTGGCCTTAAATTCTAAAAATTCGGCCGATAATGTCGGGTACCTCAGACGGAGGAATTCCGCGAACAGATCGATCGTGGACTCCATTATAACTGTCACGTGCCCAGGGGGGGCTACCCCGGGACTTAAAACACACTCGCCTTACGGCGAGGCCCCAAAATTATAATAATCACGATTAATTACGGCACACAACCGTCCGCTTACAAACGGGCCACTAAGTTGCCGAACGAATTCCAGGAATTTAGGGGTCCGCCCGTTCACAAACGGCGGTGCGACGCAATTAGCACAGGTAGTCACTTCCGAGAAAACACTTGGACGCCAGATGTGCCACGAACCGAGGTCGGGCGATCGAACGAACAATGAGCACGTCAGCACGCGGCGAGTGCTTGGATCGGAATGATCTTCAGAATCAGGTACAACTACCTAGCCTGTTTTTAGGGATCTTTTAAATCGAGTATAATCCAGACCTAATTCCATACTATAGAATGGAATATTTAAAAGTCTTTCCTGAAGGTTATAACGTGTTCTTCTAAAAAAAGGGTTCGAAAATATTAACAAGCTACTGGCAGCGGCTTAGCTATGCCCAATGGCGAACCCCTAGTTGTGTCGTATGTCTTCACAGGTAAGAAAACATAATGACATGACTTAACCGCAGTAGTACATCTCTGGGCAAGCCGGAGATGTTTATGCATTCGAAAGAAAAAAATACGATTGGTTTGAATTTTGACTCGAGTCCAAAATTGTTTTGCCACCACGATTTAGCAATCAGGCTACTAATCAGGACTTCTTTATTTATTTCATACATAGGCGAACAAAGTCAAGGCTTATATGACATCAAAGACCTCGCAACCTAATACAACTTCCGTTTGCTTCAAAGTTATTCCAAATTAACAAACTTGAGCCATTTCCTATATAAACAAAAAGAAGATAGTTTATTTTATATATGCATGGCTTTTCAATTGTCACGGGTGGATAAAGTTGGTTCGAGTATCACGCAAACTGGGATATCAGGATATTGGGTAAGAATGAACGCCAGAGTACAATGAACTTTCGCAGTTAACAAAACAGCTGTACTTACATCGTATATAGCTTTTGATGTCCCATTAAAATGTATTGCAAATCTTTTTTTTTTTTATTGCCCTTGTAGGCAGACGAGCATACGGCCCACCTGATGGTGAGTGGTTACCGTCGCCCATGGACTTCAGCAATGCCAGGGGCAGAGCCAAGCCGCTGCCTACCAAACCTAATAATCAATTCGTTTTTTTTTATTGCTTATGTGGGTGGACGAGCTCACAGCCCACCTGGTGTTAAGTGGTTACTGGAGCCCATAGACATCCACAGCATAAACGCGCCACCCACCTTGAGACACAAGTTCTAAGGTCTCAAGTATAGTTACTGTAGCGGACGTTTTCTTATTTAGATATTTATATTTGTGAGGAGGAAGATTTTTACAATAAAATAAAATAAAATTATGATGCAACTTTCATGGCTGACAGTTTATTCCAACTGACTTTAGAAACAAAATTTAAAAATTATAAAAATATAAATGACAGCTCTGTTGCTTTGCAACTAAACTTTTTACTGCGGTTCCAAACATGCCCCCNCACAAGATGTTCAGAACCTACATATACATAGGTTTAAGAAAACTATTAAAGAACATCTGTGCAATAAAGCTTACTATAAAGTCAATGATTATCTAGAAGATTGCACAAAGTGGGAATGAGTTGCTCGCTCCGGGCATTTCAATATTGTAATAATTGTTATGTTATAATACTCATTATAAAAATGAATATTTAACAAAAAAACTTATATTAAAAAAAAAATTAAAAAAAAAGACATGCCCGCCGAGTTTCTTGCCAATTCTTCTCAGGACGGAGGCTAGTTCTTGTGAATTAGCGGTAGTTCTTTTGACGTTCAACAAGTATGTACTCTCATTTATGTTGAATAAAATTTTTTTTTCATTATCTTCTTAGTTGTAACGATTTCAGATATTAATAAACAATTATTCTTTATTTATTTAAGATAAAAGTAGCTGGTTGAAAAATATTTATGTGGAGGAAGACTTCTATGCCTATGTACACAAGCCTAATGATGTTAACGTGAAAATACTATGAATCGTAATATCGCAATTTAGTTATTACACAATAAAGTTGCTTTTTATTAAGATCGAAGGGTAATTGGTGGCTCGAAGGCCCTTCCAGCTTCGTCAGAAACAGGTATGCGAGCACGGACTCGAGGGTGATGAGGGAGATGTGCTCCGCACTAAACGCTTCATTCCCCCATTTGCCTTTTCATGAGTTCTGTCTCATGCGAGGTTCGGACGTGGGTTGTTGAGCGACACAAGGTTTTAGTCAGTTCGACTCCGATATGCCCCGCCCTCTATCCCCAGGGGAGGGCGGAAGTCCGGCAATTTCCTCCTGGCCAAAAAAAAAATGTGAGCACTGGCTCAGCCAATATTGTGACGTGCATGAACCGTCCAAATAAATATTCACGTAAGGTCACATAAGGTCAAACTATGGTACTGGAGTGTATGACTGTACTTCGTGACAGGAAAAGGCGGAATATTGGTACCTACTCGGCAGATATCTGTTTTATCTTCTTTTTTGTTCTTTTTTTATTTTTTTCACTAAGTGGGGTCGGCACTGCGAATTTTTCTATTCACTTCTATCAGCCATAATCTGAACACACACTCCCCTCTCTCTCACATCGTCATTCACACACTCCATCCATGTCTTCTTCGGTCGACCTCTTCCACCTCTATCTTGCACTACCATTTCCATACATCTCCTAGTCACATGCATTTCCTCTCTACGCATCACATGACCATACCACGCTAACCGTCTTTAATTTGTCAATCACCGGGTCTACTTTCACACTTCCTCTGACATCTATTTTATATCATATTATAGTAAAATCACTTCGTCTTAACCATTAGATACGAGTTAGTTCAATTTAAATATTAATTTCAAAACATTCATATTAATGAACAAAAGTGCGAAAGCTTTTCAAAGCTCAAACAATTTCAGCTCCGTAAATGAGATCTAGGTTGAAAAACGTTTCTAGACTTCTGAGAGAATCATTCATCATACCGAAATACAATTACAGAATGATGAATTATACGAAGGGAAACGCTTGATAATTCAAATCTATTTTGAAACTTAGCGTATTAGAATGCGCTTATGTAAGAAAACAATGATAAAGATAACATTAAGTACATGAAAATAGCTTGGATTTACAGTTCCAGCAAAGATCGACGCGTACCAGTTCATATGTCACCTAATTATGCACACTACCTTGAGTCATAAGTCTAACACACTATCCATATTACTGGTGGTAGGACCTCTTGTGAGTCCGCACGGGTAGCTACCACCACCTCGCCTATTTCTACCGTGAAGCATTAATAATGGTGGTAGGACCTTTGGTGAGTCCGCGCGGGTAGGTACCACCGCCCTGCCTGTTTCTGCCGTGAAGCAGTAACGCGTTTCGGTTTGAAGGGTAGGGCAGCTGTTGTTATTATACTGAGATCTTAGAACTTATATCTCAAGGTGGGTGGCACATTTACGTTATAAATGTGTATGGGCTCCAGTAACCACCAAACGCTTTTTTTTTTTTTTTATTGCTTGAGATATGAGTTCTAAGATCTCAGTATAGTTACAACGGCTGCCCCACCCTTCAAACCGAAACGCATTACTGCTTCACGGCAGAAATAGGTAGGGTGGCGGTACCTACCCGCGCGGACTCACAAGAGGTCCTACCACCAGTATATAAATAAATAAAACACACCTGAATTCGGTCTAAGCTCTACAATTTTACAATATACAATGTTTCGTGGCATGTTTGTTTCACAATCACCATATAAACATCCTAAACACGTTGTTACCTACATGAGCGATATTTTTCAAATAAATTCGTGCAGTAAATTTTCAGAGGGAGCCGAATGGTCGAGATGATCGTTCATAAGTTTGGGTCTTTGAATGTCCAACGGCGCACGTGACGTCATTAAAGAGGACGTGAGCACTAACTAGCTTAGGGCCCGTACACACTGATATGCGCTTTAGAACTTTAATTACTGAGTCATTAGGGAAATTTTATTTTGGTATTGTGAAAAAATGTGTTATGCTCAGGATGCGTGGGGGGTGACTTAAAATATCATCTGTTTTATTCTGTGGATGTCCTAAAAGAGATTCACCCAAGGATGGGCAATAGCTATCTCATAGTATTATTACGAGCTGGTTTTTTTTGCGTCCCTGCCTAAGCTTATAGCCTTGAGAGGCTATGTCAGCGTAGCCTGACAAGTAGGTGAGGTCACGGGGCTCAAACCTGACAAAATGGCTAACACTAACCCTAACAAGAGCAGTGCTTCGCTGAATCTAACACCGGATCGGAATCGCGACCCACTGAGAAGATCCGGCGAGAAGCTCATTGGGATATATCTATGAGATTCTCTGTGTGAGCTGTGTACTTCGTGTGGCTTTTATTAATTTACTTGACGCGTTCTTGTACACACCACTTTTTATTTCTTTTAAATAAGATTTTCTAATTTGTTTCCCTCCACTACTATTCCATGGTTTTCATAACTTTGATGCTTCACGTCCATTCCGTGACAAAGAAAAATTTTATTAGAAAAATGTTAATAAATTTGAATTAAAAATAGTGTAAGAAAAAATGATTTTGTTGTAAAAAAAAAGCGTGGGGTGCCTGGTATCAGCAGTTATAAATATTTTATGAGCAGATATGAGTAGAAGGGTTATTTTGATAATATCCTGAAAAGCACGCCACGTTTTTTTTTATTATATTATTTATTTTACATTTTTTAGTTGAATTTCAATGTTTACAATATTTTGTTTTAATATTGAATTGTCATCTGTTCTTTATAAGTATACCAAATTTCGAGTTAATCCGACGTTTTGAAGGGGTTCAAAATCATGTTCAAAGATTCCGTTACAAACATACATACGTCTGAAGCTAATAAAAGCGTATTAAAAAGTAAAGCAGTAAAAGTATTCTAGTTTACGTCACACATTCGACTTTAAGTGGTTATTCAAAACGAATGCGGCTAGATCAATAGTTTCGATAATTTCGCCCGG